ACTTTTATGTAGGGCATGGCATGATTCATTGCTGTGTACTGTATGCCTTTACAGTTATTCACAGCAGGTTTCCTATAAACAACATTCTTTAAAAATATCTAGTGCAACCCAACTGTATTCAGCATGATTTTGCTTCATCTGCATAACACATTTCTATTTTTTGCCAGCTCCTTATTTCAAATGCTTAACAGGTTTGAAAAGATACCAAAACGTACACTGCAGCTTGTATACTAACAACCAACAGCTCCCAAGTCTTGTCAACTTATAATATAAAATGAAGCAATTTAGGCAGTGAAGTGAAGTGTGCAAATATTGTTTTGTTTCTTAATTGATAAATACGATTGCTTCTTTTTGAATAGGTATAAAACATCACCCATGAATGCTGATCTTGGACACAGTCAATAAATGAAAGTGCTACCCCAAAGACAATTGTCCTTAATGCAACAAAGAGGAGGTTTGCTTTAGTTATAACGCTTCTTCCAGAGAGCTCAAGGCGGCACTGATGGAGTCGTCTTGATTCATTTTTGCAACATTAAATGAAGTACAGTTAAACTGAGAGACTCAATACCATTCTTTCAGCTTTATGGCTGAAAGGAGATCTGAATTCATGTTTCCAGCTAGGCCCCTATCTGGACAGGGATAGTCTAACTTCTGTTGTCTCTGCTCTGATAACATCTTGGCTAGATTACGGAAATGTATTATATGTCGGGTTACCTTTGAAGATGGTTCAGAAATTGCAGCTGGTGGAGAATTCAGTGACCAGATTGCACACCAGGGCAAGCTGGTCTGAGCACATGACACTATTTCTGGTCCGACCACACTGGCTCACAATTAGTTTCCAGGCTCAACTCAAAGGGCTGGTTTTGACATGTAGGGCCCCAATACTGTACCTCAAGAATTGCTTCTCCCCATATGAACTAACCCAGACCCTCTCATCAATCATCTGAGGCCTTCTTCCTGTCACGCTCTCCCCAAGGAAGCCCAGAGGGTGGCAACACAATAATGGATTCCCACATGACTGAGATTTGGTTTGTTGGTGCTCATCCAGGTCATCCAACAAGGGCATCAGGATGAACATTATAAATCTTTTTCAAGGACACTTTAAAGACTATCCATGCTCATTGATTATAAAACTCGGGATCTTAAGTATAAATAGAACTTCTCAACTTCCCCCTGTTGACAATGAAACAAAAAATCATGCTAATATATTGTTTCAGGCCACCCCAACCTCTGCTGAGCAAGATCCTAGGGGTCTTGCCACTCAACCAGAGTTGTGTTTCCTTCAGAAATTAGGCACAGTGGAGACTGCAGTGTCTCCTGAAATATGGTTTATTTGCACATATCTACAATCTGTGTCTAGATGGAAACCGTTTAGAGCGTTCACAGCTCAAGAGGAGCTTGCTTCCTGCAACAGTTCAGCACTGGAATCCATGGACAGCAAACAGCCATCTTTTGTGACACTTTGTTCCAGCCTGTCATTCCCAGCTCACATGGAGTTCTGTTCTTCCTCCTCCTCCTCCTTCTTCCTGCTAACTGACTCCAAGGACCTCTTCCTAGCCTACGTCATTCAAAGTTGAAACCTTAAACCTGGCCTTTGTCTGCTACCTTTGTTTCTCCTACTCACTCAGAGGCAGGGGTGGGGTGGGGTGGGCATGACAGCGACTTCACTCTTCAGCTGGCTAGCATTGTCCATTGTACTTAATGACCCACTGCTCTGCTCTCTTTGTTTCTTGCTAATGGCTTCTCTTCAAAACTGGTCTGGTCCATCTTTTTTGACAATGCTACATCTGACAGCTTCCCTTAATACACCAGGCATTGATTTATTCCTGACATTTACTAAATCTAAGAATTTAGGGGGATCTGCCCCCTCCACAAACATAAGTTTGATCCCACATTTAGGGACTCTATCACCCCCCCCCCCACAAATTCATAGCAGAATTAATAAATATGGTCCAACTTGTTATAGTTTCTACAAAATCTGCTTGTTTTAAAAGGATTTCTTGTTCCCAATAATTCATTGTGCAGCTTAGTGCAAATCTATCATGCTAATTTGGTTCATTGAAACTCTGATCACTGACTAATGATAGTGTGGAAATTGAAGATATGGCTTTAGCACCCAAAGTATAGAAATAATTGATGTAATTAATCCAAGCCTAGCATGGAAGAGCTATTAAATCAATAGGATTTCATGTCTTTCATATTGGTGTGTATATATTAGGGGATTAAAACTGAAAAAAATCTTAGCAGCATAGCATCATTGCTTTGTAGCCATTTATGAAGGTGGGGGAACCCAAACACATTTCATAATATACATATATAGGGTGTATGTGTAAAATATTATTTTGTACCACATAATGAATTTTGGAGTGGTCCAAATGAATAGGCTATTTAAAAAAGCCTGTTGGCACAAGCCAAAGGCATCTTGTTCTCAAAGTGACAAATTACATTTTTGTAATATTTGTTTTATTTACAAATAGAACATAAATGAAAGGAAAGAGCAGGCACTTATACAAAACAGCAGCTCCACTACCCCACACCAGATCTCCAGAGAAGATGCCAACTAGGAATTGTGTATCCTCTCTCACACATGCAGAGACATCTGCACTTGTAGCTCCCCATAGCTGCATATAGTTGGGTCTCCTTCTTTGATCATTTTCCATACAGAATGGGGCTGATGGGAATTGTAGTCCACAACATCTGGAGGGCGCCATATTGGCTACCCCGTCCTAACAGAAAACTATTTCACCTGACTTCTGGATTTTGGTATACAAACACAAAATGGTTGGTTACCCCTTTCCCAGCTGCCATCCCCAGCAGCTACAGCACATGGGTCTGGTGAGACAGCCCACACAAAGGTAAAATTGAAATGGGCCAATCAGAGGCCCCACCTGGTGAGCAGTGCCTTGCTGGCTGACTGGGCATTGGCTGCTCTCATGCCCAGTCAGGCAGTGATGCATAAAAGTCGGTTGCACCTGACTCCTTCAGCGCAGTCGGCAGTAGAGCAAATCAAACTTTTGTGCGCATCACCCAAAAAGTTGTGCATCACCCTGTCCAGAACCAACAGCACATTCAAGGCATCCAAGGGGTCTCGGTGGAAGCCTCTGTCCAGAAGCTAAGCATAGGGCAGACAGGCCATTGAGCTTCCAACAGTGGCTGGAGGTTGGCCACCTCAGTAGATCGGCATCTTGGGGAAGCCATAATCCTTGACATGACCCTGAAAAAGTTTCAGCCCTCTGGCTGGAGGCTAAAACAGATGTACACTCAGTGCCTGAGCCTTAATTCCACCTACACCTGTAATAAATAAAGATGTGGCCATTGTTGTCTCCTGAGTTTATTTTATTACACCTTACTGTAGTCACTGCCTAGGGGAGGGTGGAACTGTGAATGGGACCGCAAATAAGGATAAATAATGTCAACTGTAAGTTCTATTAAGTGTGGCGCATTTGTATTCCTACAACTGAAATATTCACATTGATCATTTGGAGAAGAGAATCCTATACATAAGTAATTCTGAAATCTCTTAACTTTTGTTTGTTTAATTCAATAAAATCAATTGTATACATATGCTGTTGAAAGCTCCCATTGCCAGCATCATAGGCCTGCAATTATTTCATGAATATGTTTGTAAACTGCTATAACATGAAGGACCTTTCCTTTGATAATCTGGAATATTGATATCCTTCAGAAGTAATAACACGTCTTTTAGTTTCTAGATCCAGAGAACTTGGGATTTTCCTGTCCTTCCCTATCAATGTCAAATAAAAACCTTTTAACTTTTTATTAATAGAACTAAATGGAGACTATTTTATAAAAAAAATTATATCCAACAGTGGACCTTCTGTAATTGATATGAAACTATTGTGGCATGGATAATTAGTGCTCTGTATAAATCAGTGTTGACAAGCTGCATAAATGATTAAGGCAAAAAATAGCTAATTTCACAGTTTATCTGTAACATAAAAATTTCAAAAGGGATAATTTATATTGCTGAAGAGATAGTTAGAACTTTCATACTTCCCCCAATGAAATGTGCTAATAAGGAAGATTAATGCCACTTCTCAAATGACCTATAATTTGTTCTTTTTAAGGGAAGAGGAGATCAGGGCTATGATAAGACACAAATGTTTTTAAGCACTGTAGAGCAAATGGCGATCTGTGTAATACGGGCCTTAGTAAGACTTCTAAGGATTAAAAAAAAAATCACCTAGAACAATTTAGGAAATAATAAGCAAGATTTAACAAATGCAGAAGTTCCTTCACACCAATCTGAACACAGCTGAATTACTTTAATTTGCTTATCCTTGCTAGATCGCTGTGGTGGGTCTGGTAACATCTGTGGATCTTGCCATGTGATTCTACAGAACTGTCTATCAAAAATACATGGCTGCATCTGTTCTTAGTAATTTGTCTCTTCTTGACATAAGCTTCTCTACACCTCCCACCACTATTGTTGTTCTGGGGAAAAAAACCCTATTTATTTATGTGTATTTCTTACATTTCACTTCTTTCAGCATAGATTAAGAGAACGGCTGCCACAATTGCAAGATGTGAAAAATAACTTTGAAATACAGTGACTCCATTGGTGAAAAAATTAAAAAGGAAATATCTTTAAACTGACTGAAGAAGATGCTAATGTCAAATAGTTCTGAGATAACAGACACCCAATTTCAGAATACAGGGGGGAAATGCCACAAGAGAAGGCCCATTTTCCCCCTTGTGTCAAATATTAGGTTTTGTAAAATGTTAGAAATGTAGAGAGACTTTAAACATTCTGCCAAAACAGACATATGAAGGGTAGCTGTCTGAAATAGCTGCTTATCTGTGGCTATGAGGAGGCAGTGGTGGCAACTTGGCAGAAATAGTGGCGGCAGGCGCCCATCAGGAGTCAGGGCGGGTGGAAAAGGACGTCATTTTCTCTGCCAGCTGCACAGGCTTCTGGGACTCACCCATGATACTTGCCAGTAGTGGAAAGGTTTGTGGGCATGGCCTCGGGGTCAGACCAGAGGGAAGACTTCGCTTACCTGTCTTCCCTCCTGCCCACTTCCTGGGCACAAAAGAAAGCCACTGCAAAGCACTGCTCTCAGTCAGAGTTTGGCCTCCCCACCCACCCCATGATCTAAGCGCATGACTTCCTGAGGGTAAGCAGGCAGGCCTTGCTATGGATGTATTTAGTCACTGTGTTTGGGGTCAGGGAGGAATTTGCTTTCAGATTAGGCCTGTCTGGGGTTTTGCCTACCTCATTGCAATCATTACAACTTTGATGGAGGATAGGGCATTGGAGTGCATCCTCAGTCTGGTTGGATGGTGAGGTCAGAAACCTTGAGAGTCCAAGGAAGCAGGGGATCCTGTTAAAAGAATCCAGGGTGAAGGTACTTCTGTCCAGATGGCTAGACAGGCCATAGGTCCACCCAGGTGATATCAGGAGGGGTTGCCCAGATTTGGTGTGTGTCATAGGGCAACCCGTTACCCTGGTTAACCATGCCTAAATAATTAACCAGCAGACAGGTTGGTTAATTCAAGGCATGCTAATTCAGGATGTGCTAAAACCTGTTGACATCTGTAATATAGCAAGCTGTGGTCTATTTAAATTCCAAAATGGTTGCCCTGTGTTTATTGCAATTCTTCCAGGATTAGGACCTCCTGCCTACGGCTTCACTGCTGCTGAGGCCTGCAATGAGAATTCACCTCTGTACAGTGGAAGCTGGTTTATTTGGGTGAGCAGGGCACTGCGCCACCAACCTCAGCCTCCTCTCAGCCAGCACCCGCCCACCTGTCTTACTTGCAACCTCTACCAGGGATAGTACTGCCTATCATCTTAGTCATCCTCAATCTCAGTATTGCTCTTGTAGAACTCATCAAAAAGGTAATAGGGGGCAAAACTAGAATTAGCTGTCTCTGACTATCATTAGCAAGGGCGCCATCTACTGTTGGCTCCCTGCCTTTTGCCCTAAAAGTTCCAATGAGTAGCAGCCACCATTGCTTCCATATCACACTTAACCTCTGACAAATCAGAAAGGTCAAAGGCCAAGGAAGCAAGTAAAGGCAAAGCTATATCTGGTGAGGCAAAAGGCAAGCTGAGTCTAACTTCTTGCTCTGAGAAGCAAGCATTAACTGGAAACTTCATGTTGATCAGGGATGTCTGTGGATTACTAAGGTTTAAGAAGCTAAAGGTAAAGGACCCCTAACAATTAAGTCCAGTTGCAGATGACTCTGGGGTTGCGGCGCTCATCTCGCTTTACAGGCTGAGGGAGCCAGCGTTTATCCACAGACAGTTTTTACAGGTCATATGCCCAGTGTGACTAAGCCGCTTCTGGCGCAACGGAACACCGAAACCAGAGCAGCGCACAGAAACACTGCTTACCTTCCCGCCGGAACCATACCTATTTATCTACTTGCAATTTTTGGGCGTGCTTTCAAACTGCTAGGTTGGCAGGAGCTGGGACCGAGCAACAGGAGCTCACCCTGTCGCAGGGATTCGAACCGCCGACCTGCTGATTGGCAAGCCCAAGAGGCTCTGTGATTTAGACCACAGCGCCACCTGTGCCCCCTTTTAGCCTTTTTTAAGAGGCTAAAGCTTTTCAAATTCAGTGCTGCTTTCAGTGAACAGGACCATCACTTCATGAAGTCTTTCTATCAAATACCCGCCTTTTTCCATTTCCCCTGGAAACTATCCTTGTTAGGAAGTGGACTGAGGGCACAGGATAAAGTCACCTTGTTGAACTTAAGCAGTTCTAGATTTGGTGAGCACCTGAATGTGAGCCCACCAGGAAGCCTTTATATGCTGCCCTGATTCCATATATAACCAATGTGCTCAAAGCAGGCTTCTTAAACCACAGGGAGGGGAAAGAAAATAGTGAAATCTGAATGCTTTCTAGTAACTTGTGTTTCAGAATTTGGACTGCTTCTAGTGAGAAATTTAAGACTATAAAAGTGATGGCAATTATTTAAAGTATTTTTGATGTTTCTTGTGGGTGACTTCATCTGGAAAGCAGTGTAAGTGCTTTCCCCGCCCCCACGCTATACCAACAAGGAAAAATATAGTCTTTATTTAGGGGCGCAGAAGACCTTCAGTAATTCTAACATATCTTAATGGCATTAAGAGCATTATAGGGAAAGATGAACCCATTAAACACAATGAAAATCCAACAATTTTCTTGGAAGATTATGCAGAATGCCTCAGCTTACCTAATTTATTGAAAACACTGTTGTTCTGTTTTACTCTCTCACCTCCAGAATGATAAATTACTTTTCATGCATTTTGATCAAAATAAAATCTCACTAAATGAGAGATGACTGGTAAAAGATAGGTTGATACGAGTTCTTCTGCATCAACAGCTGATAGATACTTTAACTTCTGTGCACCACATAAGATAGGATGATTTATTAATGACAATTATATTAAATAGTCCTAAGGTCACTATCAAAAGTGACAAGAGAAATCTAAAGCAGGAAAGAAAAAGGCCAAAGGATAAAGGTAAAATAATTCACATGGCCGATAATCAGAAAGGCTAATAAAAGAACAGATACAAAGAAAATGAATTATGTATGCAGTCTTATCCTCCTGCCTGATGAATGCAGGTGAGGGTGAATTTGCCTCCATACGCTCCCATGGAAGCAAAAGCTTGGAATGGATGAAGTCAATGTGACATAATCTGGCCTCATGCAGTCCTACGACTGGGATGGGACAAAGGCACATGCATTTTTAGTGCTCCCCCTCTTCTCCTGCACAGCTATGATATCTGCTACCACACACTGCCCACCCCACCAATTAAGACTGTGCAGAATTAAAGCGTCACTGTTGGGACAAAGTAGGGAACTGGTGTCTTTTTCCCCCACTACACTGCTAGTGTACAAACAGTAACACAAATCAGTGTTGTGTGCAACGCACTCCCTGCTGAAATATAAGAAGTTCCATCTGTATGGGCATTCTCCTCTTTACACCTCTTTACACAGGCATGCGCTTAACCTCCTGATTTAATTGCTGTGCTGCTTTAATAGGATCATTTTATTGTCTGTTTTTAATTTCAGATGTCCAAATATTAATGCTTTGATGGGACCATTTTCTTGTATATTTTAACTACAGATGTTTATATATTCCACTTTGTGCAACCTGCTTTTATATTTTGTAAACCGCTTAGAAGACTATTTTGGCATTAAGCAGTATGTGGGTGGGAGGCTGGACCATTCAAAACAGTGGGCTTTACTTTTGGGTAAACATTTGACTGATTGCACTGCAGAGCTTGAAACAGCCATTTCTCATAGATGTAGGATAAGAATGTGGAGCTGATTCCTCAGCATTATTGAGAAGAAATATATGTCCCAACTTACAAATCAGAGTAAATAAGAAACAAGAAAAACCATTTAGTCATCCGTCTCTCCTCCCATCTCCCATATTGTGTTAAAGAGAAAAGTGATTGATAGAGTACTGTGCTAATATTTTCTAAGCCCTGTTTTTATAGCTTTTCTGTCAATATTTTCTTCAGCCAAGAAGAGAAACTGAGTGTTGAACATCTTTTCTTTCTTTCTTTCTTTTAAAAAAACCTAGCTAAGACAAATCTATTCCAGCTCTATCCTCTTGTGTTAAAACTTCATTGTAAGTAATTCTGAAAGCTAGTGGAAAGGCTGTGAATTTGAGCATAGTGCTTAAAACATAATAAAGCAGCTAAAATCAATACTTAGTCATTGTTATTCCAAACTTGTTTCTGCAAATAGACAGTTGTTAAGCCTCTTTTAAGCAAAATTGTGATCTACAGTGGATGGCAGCCCATTGACTAGAGCTTATTATATGATAAGGATTTTCTTTTTCTAATCAAATGTTTTATCATTTGTAAGCAATATTGAAGTATTTGGTCCAACACTTTATTTGCATGAAGCATAAGAGGTCACTGCAAAAGTAATCTGAAGTTTTAATATGTATGCATAAAGTTCTAATGATAACAGCATTGCAAAATATACAATAATCTCTGAAAGTCAATGGTTAGTAATTTGTCACATAACCTTATCAAGAGTGAACATCCAGACTGTGTAATCCTATGCAACCTCCTCAGACGTTAGATGCAGCTTACACCCAGGTAAAGATGCAATAGCTATTTCCCATCTCAGAAAAAAATAAATCCTGGCTTGTACCCCAGAAGGCATTGAGCCAACTGTATATTTTTTGGGGGGGTGGGGGAACTTTTATGGAGCAGCATAGCTGCCTTCCCTTCACTCTTCCTCCCAGTCACGTTTTCAGCTGGCTGTTTGTGGTCAACTGCTAAACTACTTGATGACAGGGCGATGAATTTGTGAAGCAATCTCTCACCAATGCCACCACTTGAACCTGCAGTTTAGCTTTAAATTTGCCTTGTTTCTCAGTATTTTAAAATCCAAGCTGTTGTTCTGCCAAGATAACCGCAGCCGGCTCCCTTGGCCAATTAAGCAAGATGAGTGCTGCAACCTCAGAGTCATCCGCGACTGGACCTAATGGTCAGGGGTCCCTTTACCCCCAAAAAGGCAGGGAAATAATCTCTATAGCCTATGCTAGTTACAATTGTTTCTGTAAAATAGCAGAGGATCCTCACAAACAGAAACAGCCTGCATACATATGCCCCATTCCATCAATATTTGTTGGACTTGTAAGCCCCAGTCGATGCATAGAAATCACTCATAGTGACTCTTCCATTCTTCCACAGGATGAAGCAAATTCACCTAGAAATCACTGTTTGTACCTTCCTTTGGAATAATTAGGGCAACCTGTGCCTCTACAAAATTCATGTAAACATCTGTATGTGCGTTACTCTTTTGGTCAGAAGCATATTCACATTCGCAGGGGATACACTGGGGCGAACACAAGAATTCAAGAATTCGCAGAAAAGAAAGCCAGGAAAGCATTTTTAAATGTAAATACTTAAAATAATCCTTTTCACTATGTATTTTTAAAAAGCACTATTGTATATCTATATTTTCCATTTTGTCTTTATATGCAGATATGGTTCAAGCCTTGAAATAAAATTATTTGTCAGCATATACTTACTTATTTATAAGACTTCAGTTTTCCCCAGGGTAAAAAAAGGGGGGCACATTATCTACCTGGCCCAGGCCTCTGCCTGGCTCTGCAAGACCCTAAGCACATCACCGATGCTAGAAGTACAAATAGTGTGGGTATGCTCTAAATAGCAATTGACTAACACAAAACAAGCATCCAGTTAGGCCCACAGTAGAGCACAGAAAATAGGAATACTTTAGATCTATAGAGTATTTTTATCCTCAACATGATAGTCTTGCAAGCCCTTATCCAGCATGAATCATGCAGTATCACCTCATCATATCAGCCATAAGTTTTTCCATTTACATATTCAAGGCAGCTTTCAAACCTTCTTGAACAATTGTTTTCAATCTCACCTCTAGCAGGTATCCACTTGTAGAATGCCAACTTCTACCCCAAAATACACCTATCAGATCCTGGCTCAGGACAAAGAGAAAGCCATCCCTGAAAGCCAGTTTGGATGTGGAGTAGAGATGGAAAGCTCTGTCAGATTCGGTTCTCTCCATTTCACGTTTTCCCAATTTTAGTTCAATTCTCTACATTTCTGCAGCAATTTGCTGTGGGTATTTTGTGATCTTGATAGTTTAAGCAAATTGGAGGAAATATACAGGCGCTGGTTGTGGCTGCCCCCTTCTCTGTAATGCTCATCTGCCTTTGGTTGCAGTAGTTAATTAGGAGCTTTGTTCTGCCAACAAGGAAGCAGTGTGTGTATGTATTAATTGCATGAAGTGTACCTTATCTTTGGCACCACAGAGGTCAGTGGAGAACATACTGTATACATCATTCTTGCACAAAAAACAACAGGAAAGGCCAGGCTATTCTTTCTGCCACCTTCTGCCTCTTCAACTTGAGAATTATCTAACAAAAAGCTAAGATTGCAAACCTATACACACAAACACGCACACCTGGGATTAAGGTTGATTGAACTCAGTTTGACTTTCTTTTGAGTACACATACATAAGATTGCACTGCTGACCATATTTAGAGTTGGCTGCTAGCAACCGGTTTACAAACTCTCACACGTCCTGCTTGCAATACATAGTAGCAGCCTGGTCCAGAAAGGCAGAGCTTCAACTGAGTTTTCTTGATGCTTAACTTTTTTCCTTTTCTCCCTTTTAATATATGGGTCTCCTCCACTGTGACCCTAATAGAAGTAAACAGAGATGAGCAAATCTAAATAGTGCTAAGGTTCAAACTAATCTGATATGCAATTATACGTAACTTGCTCGCAGTAGAGGTTGGTTTATTGAGGCAAATGGGGATATGCCCCAATAAGTACTACCTGCCCTCAGCCAGCCTTCACGTCATGTCTCTACCTTACTTTCAAACAGTCCAGGAGACAGGGGCGAAGGAAGGTGGGGGCGGGACTACCCAGGTGTCACCACTGAGGGGGTGACAAAATGCCGGGCGGCGCTTACCGCCGGGCCTGCAGCGTGCCTGAGCCACGAGTCTCTCCTGGGAAAGACGCAGTGGCTTGGGCATGTGCAGGCTCCGTGCTGCCCCGAGCAGTCCACCCACCGCCTCCTCCTCAGCTGTAGGGCGACTGAGTGGGAAGAGGCAGGCAGACTCCTCGGAGGCCCCGTGAAGCATCCTGCCCCCGGCTTTCCCTGCCCTGCAGGTGGCTGGCCCTGCCCCTGGGTCCAGAGCATGCATGCATGCTGCCCCAGGCGCCTGATCGGCTTGCTCCGCCACTGCTAGACGATGGCACTCTCTGTCAACTTCTTCCTCCTTACTCTCAACGCTGCTCTTAACAGAACTCAGCAGGGAAGAGAATAGGAACAAAACTCGAATTAGTTGCCTCTGCCTGTCATTGTCTCAGGCTCCACTTTCTGTTGGTCTCTCTACCTTTTCTACCAGTCCCAATGGGCACTAGCCACCACTGCTTTCTCCTGAATATTGTAAAAATGGAAACAACTCATGGAAGTGATGACTTTGAGCAGAGGAATGGAAGACGAAAGATCTGCTTGACCTTTTTTCTTCAGCTCAAAATCTTTCACCCCAGCTGCTTTCATCCCCACAAAGAAAAATATATGGGCACCTTTTAAGCAGCCTCCCCCTTCATTCTTAGGCTGCAATCATAACCCCACCTACCTGGGTGCAAGAGCCACCAAATTCAATAGGACTTACTTCAATAGGACTTTGAGTAGACATGGCTAGATTCTGCTGCTGGTCTACTTTTGCTCATGTGTATTCACACATGCAGGCTGCTGCTTATCTTTAGTTTTTGATACATTCATTCATTTATCCATTCATTTATATGCAGTTTAATGTCAACTTAGGCCTGTAAGTGGTTTACAAGTGTAAAAAACTGATTGCACAAGCACTGAAATATAAAGAACAGCAGTTAAAATACAAAACTAAGACACACAGTAAAGCAATCTCATGAAAATGTTAAATGCAAGAATTATGTTACATACAATTGCATGTCACGTCTAGTTTGGGCTTCAGTCTCCCCAGTGTGTAGATACCAGTCACTTCCTGATAAACACCTAGTTCCCAGTTTCTCAGCACCAGCTGCAAACCAGAGATATTAAGTTGTGAAGTGACATAAGGAGGGGCAGAGCAGTTTTGCACAAATCACAAAAAGGATCCTTTGCCAAGAGCACTAATAATGTAAGTTTTAGGTGAACTTTGCCTTCTTGCCAGTTTGCAGGAGCTAATTCCAGCACTCGTTTCCGGGAGACAGAGATTAATTGGTTGCCTTTATCAAAGCATTTAGCGATTAGGAATGCGCTTCTCTCATCCATATCTTCCATCATGGACTCTAGTCGCTCAATAAAAAGATGTGCCCCAAACCAAGGCATTCATTTTTCAATATAGTATTATGTGACAACAGGTTACTGCTTTTGTAAAGCTATTACTTTTACTGTCAACATGACTGCTCCGATGGACTGTCTCATTAGAAAGGAATAAATTGGAAGTGAATAAAAAAAAGTATCCCAAATAATAAATTGACCTCTAGCAAATATATATGATCTTTCTTGTATCAGACATATCAAAGTAAACAACTGCTTACAGAAGTTCCCAGCCTTGAACTTTCTTGCCTTGTAAAGAATTTATGGACAGGCCAGAGTCAAAGAATTGAGGCTCCTTGAATTATTAAAGAACCGCCGATCTGCAAGTGGAGTGGATGTCATTTAAATATACATGTTGAAAGATTGCTTTGGGGATGTCAAAATAAACTTTTAAAATCAGAGAAGTAATTGATTTCCTTGTGAAAGCTCGTTTAACCATGTAATTTCACCAATGAGAGAGATGTTGAAGTGTGAGTCCCTTTGGGAATATAGATGGAACGAGGGAGTGAGCTAACTGAGTTCTGGATGGGCCTGTCACTCTTAATTAGATCTGGTTTGATTTTATGTGGAGAAAGAATCCCATCTGCTTTCAATATTGAAGCCAAAAGGATGGTTCAGTTGTACCAGGGGCAAGATATGGCAGGTGTAGCCTTGTCTTTGTAATCTATTGTGGGTATGTAATTGGTTCATTCCCAGAGAGTAATAGTTGGAAAGAGTAATAGTTGGAGAGCCAAATACCAAAAAGTGCAGCAAGCATGGGCAACATTGGTCTTCTTCAGAAAGAAGTCTTCCAGACAACAGTTTTGTTGCACTAACTAAATCTTCCATAACAAAGCTGGAGCCATAAGAATGCAGGTATTTGACAAGTACATGCACAATCGGGACATGTGAAATAAAAATATACAAACATAAGGAGAGCCCTGTTGGATGGGCCAAAGGTCCATCTAGCCCAGCACTCTGATCTCACATTGGCCAACCAGGTGTGATGGGAAGCCTGTCAGCAGAACCTGAGCACAACAGCATTCTTCCCACCTGTGATTCCCAGCAACTGATGTTCAGAGGCATGTTGCCTCTGACAGGGGAAGGAGACCATAGTCATTGTGCCTGCTAGCCAGTGACAGACTTATCCTCTGTGGATTTGCCTGCTCCTCTTTTAATCCAAGTTGGATCTACACAGTTGGATCTAAGTCTAATCCAAGTTGGTGACCATCATTACGTCTTGTGGGAATGAATCCCGTAGTTTAACTGTGAGTGAGATGCTGCCAGCGTATCACACCTCTGCTCAGAGGCTGGCACAGGTTACCAGTTTGCTACCAGGCAAAGTTAAAGGTGTTATTATTAGTATATAAAGCCCTTAATAACTTGGAACCAGTTTACTTTCAAGGTCTCTTGATCCCATATAGGCCCACTCAACTGCTTCAATCTGCGGCACCAGCACTGTTAGGTGTGCCACATAACACCATAATCATTAATTAATCAATACATATTGCTGTTTTCATTTACTCTGACATAGTTCTGCTAGTTTAAAACAAAAAAGATTATTTCCTTAGTTAAGTTTACTGGAGAGCCACCATTGTCCTGTGACATGTTATCCAAAGTTTAAAAAGAAAGTGACAAGTTATGTAGCATCTGGTGCTGTAATGTTCAGGCCCATACATTTACATGCACTGGAAGACAGAGAACTCCTTATCCACTCTGAGACTTATAGTGCAATACTATGCACGCACACGCGCGCGCACACACACACACACACACAACCCAAAGCAATAAAAATGGCAAAGAGCCTTGGGACACCTTAAAGACTAACAAATTTATTGTAGCATAAGCTTCCAGAGACTCTGGAGTCCGACTCTACTCCATGGAAACTTATGCCATAATAAATGTGCTAGTCTTTAATGTGCCACAAGACTCTTGTACTATTTTTGCAACAATGGACTCATGTGGCTTACCTCCTCTGAAAATTATTAATCAGAAATAAGTCTTGCTGTGTTTATTAGGATTTCCTCCCATGTAGGTGTGCATAGGAATGCAGCCTTAACGTCCAGAGACCCCAAACCAGGGACTCTAACCTGAGTTACGACAACTTCGGCAATTCACAGTAACACAATTTTAACAATGCATTGCCCAAAAGGCAAAAACAGTAATAAAACCAGGACAGAGATTTAGCAGGAGAAACTAGCAGAGAAGCAAAACTACCCCTAGTAAACAGGGACAGTTGGAACCAAGAATTTTCATAGATTAATTTCCCAGGCTCAGGAGAATTCCTATAGGAGACTTCTTACCTGGGGAAACACCAAGTGTAAATGGGCTTCATCTTTCAATTGCTTACCTGTGACCCTCTGAATTGCAAGTCTCTGGCTCCGACTCAAGGGTTCATAAGTTCACAGGGAAGCAATTCACACATATAACTAATTCACATATTATGCAGGAATAAGAAGCTCAGTTTTCATTTTTCAATTCTGCAACAGAATATGCTAGAACCCAACATTTTTTTTTATAAAAAATGTGTAACGTTTTGAAATGATAGTGGTTTACTTGGGCAGTAATATAACAAGAAAACACATCCATAAACATTACAATAGGAACAATTAAAAATAATTCATATGCATAGCAAGATTTAGTTGTCCCAAGTTCTTTATTATCAATTTAAATTGCATTTAGAGAGAGCAGAGTTTATTTCCATCTTTTCCTCTGACAGCTTGTTAGCAGTTGTGTGAATTTTGTCCCTGGGGATCTGCTAGGCTTTTATATCTCGGCATTCTCTTTTTTCTCTGTCATACAAAAGTGGTAGGAAATTGTCTTCTTTGTTGTATTTATTTAGCTTATTTTCTCCACTGCTGTAGGAAGGATCAGACTTTGCTGTGGTTTATGCTACCAATTATGTATGCATTTCCATTTGTGAGGAATCGACAACAACCTTACGGTTGTTTCCTGCTGCAAGATGAATGGGTTGGATGTGCCCTCTGTTCGTGTTTAGAAAGAAGAATACACATAAATATACTCCTGGGCAGGCATAAGCAAACTCGGCCCTGCAGATGTTTTGGGACTACAACTCTCATCATCCCTGACCACTTGTCCTGTTAGCTAGGGATGATGGGAGTTGTAGTCCCAAAACATCTGCAGGGCCGAGTTTGCCTATGCCTACTCCTGGGCATGCTCCTGGATCTTTGGATAAAGGTAAAGGTAAAGGGACCCCTGACCATTAGGTCCAGTCGTGGCCGACTCTGGGGTTGCGGCACTCATCTCGCTTTATTGGCCAAGGGAGCCAGTGTACAGCTTCCGGGTCATGTGGCCAGCATAACTAAGCCGCTTCTGGTGAACCAGAGCAGTGCACGGAAATGCCGTTTACCTTCCTGCCAGAGTGGTACCTATTTATCTACTTGCACTTTGATGTGCTTTTGAACTGCTAGCTTGGCAGGAGCAGGGACCGAGCAACGGGAGCTCACCCCATCGCAGGAATTCGAACCGCCGAGCTTCCAATCGGCAAGTCCTAGGCTCTGTGGTTTAGACCACAGTGCCACCCGCGTCCCTCCCCTTATACTGAGATCTCCAGATCTTATACTGATACACCTCCCTTTATACTGAGCCTCCAGAGGCCCTGATTCCTATGCCTCCATCATCTGAACTATAGTGGGTAGTAATACAGGACAGGACTTTCTCTGCGGCAGCACCTAAGCTCTGGAACTCCCATCCTAAGAACTTTTACCTTACTTGCATCTTTGGGGAAGAGCTCTGCAGTAGAGAATCTGCTTTCTTAATCCCTGACATCTCTAGGCAGGGAGATAATCCTGCCTGAAACCCTCAGTGGTATAGCGTGGGTTGCCAGTGCCTAGGGCCACATGGAGGGGAAGAGGGAGAGAGGAAAATGGACAGAGTAAGCTTGCACATTCAACTGCCTGACGGCATCCGCGTCACCCAGGAGATCGTAGCCACAGAGATAAGAAAAGAAGAGTCCTTCTGTCACCTGGAGAAGTCACTTCCTGGTTTGCATGGAGAAGACGTTTTCAGTGGAGTCTAGCAATAGAAGCACACAGCTGTATTCAAGCAGCACTGGGTGTTGAAATTTTGCACCTCTAACTATTTTGCACCCAGGGCAACCACCCCATGGCCCCCTCCATGCTACAATACTGGAAACCCTGGAGACCCACTGCCAGTGTAGTGTAGGCAATACTGAGCAAGAAGGACCATTGCTCTAACTCAGTATGCGGCAGCTTCCTATGCTCCTCTGCTCAAGCCAAGGCAGCCCTCATTTGGAGGGTTTGGGGTTGCACCCATTTCTGCTGGTCTGATTAATGTGACTACTAGGTGTTTTGGTTTTTTAAAAAAATTTGGATGGATTATTATGATTTTATTGATACTATTATTCTTTTAATGCACCATCATTTTAGTAAAGTCTCAAAGGCAGCTGATAAAGCATATTAAGAAAAATAATATAAATTTAACATGTTTTGTTTGCCAGCTCAACAAGTAGTTTATAAATCTAAAGTGATAGCCAGCTAAATCATGCTCTGAACAGACCTAACTGAAATTGATTAACTAATCATCTTTTGGTATTGTTAAAATAAAAAAAAAAAGCATTTCTGGATAGAAGTACTGAATTATACAAACAAGTACAAGCTATGATCTCCCAAGAAACCCTAAAATAGCTTTCCTCTTGAAACTTCATTTAGAAGTCATTAATACTGATTTACAGCTGATTACTACACTACTAACAACAGCAAGAGAGTGTATTTCACAAAAATGGGAAAACAAAGAACCCCTTGCCATAACTGATTGGTCACTACCTCTTACAGAAGCGAATTCCACTGTTTAATTATGTGAAGAAGTCCCTTCTTTTGTCTGTCCTGAATATTCAAACAGTGAGTTTTATTGCATGGTCCTGAGTTCTTTTGTTGTTTAGTCATTTAGTCGTGTCCGACTCTCCATGACCCCATGGACCAGAGCACACCAGGCACTCCTGTCTTCCACTGCCTCCCGCAGTTTGGTCAAACTCATGCTGGTAGCTTCGAAAACACTGTCCAACCATTTCGTTCTCTGTCGTCCCCTTCTCCTTGTGCCCTCCATCTTTCCCAACATCAGGGTCTTTTCCAGGGAGTCTTCTCTTCTCAGCATGTGGCCAAAGTATTGGCGCCTCAGCTTCAGGATCTGTCCTTCCAGTGAGCACTCAGGGCTGATTTCCTTAAGAATGGATAGGTTTGATTTTCTTGCAGTTCATGGGACTCTCAAGAGTCTCCCTCCAGCACCATAATTCAAAAGCATCAATTCTTTGGCGATCAGCCTTCTTTATGGTCCAGCTCTCACTTTCATACATCACTACTGGGAAAACCATAGCTTTAACTATAGGGACCTTTGTTGGCAAGGTGATGTCTCTGCTTTTTAAGATGCTGTCTAGGTTTGAGTTCTAGAATTATGAAATTTATATTTGACTCCAGCTGTGAAAGTTTCAAACATGTTTGAGCCTTTTCTTTTCTTGGCCATGTGGGCTTCCATTTCTTCTATGATTACTACTTCTGTAGATTTCAGGATGCACTGTGCAGCATTCACCGCTGTGGCAATGCATGTTTATTTGTTTGTCTCTTTCTCTCCTCCTGTATCTGGGCCCTCATTGCACACCATAAATTCATTTCAATCATGACATCTTCATACAAACCAGTCAAAATATGCTTTGATGAGATGGCTTTCTAGTGGTCACAGCCGACTGAAACAGCAATTAATGGTCCTCCTTCAAATCTCCCATCTCCTACATAAATGCACTTGCAAATCAAAACAAACATCACTTACATATTTAAAAGTGAATATTCTGGCTTAGTATCTGAAGCTGAAATGTCACCCATGGGAAGGGTGTAAATTCATTCCAAGTGATATACTTTAGTAGAGATCAGCTTTTTTTGTCATGCAGAAAGATCTAAATAATTTTTGCAACCAGCTGCAGTTCCTCTGGGAAGCAACACATTGTGCAGCCAGCAATCTTGTCAAAGTTGTGAATAACTGCCTCCAGCTTTCCCAATTTAATGATCTTATCCCTTTCCCCTGAAAGCACGACATGGTTAAACTATTGGGGATAGTTTAGATTGAAACAAATCTAAATAAAGCCAAATGGCTTCCACTTATGAGAATATAACTGGCAGGTGTTATTCACTAGAAGGAAAACATTCAGATCACTTCTGTACAGAATACTGTATTAACATTTTATTTGACATCCCATCACCATCATTTTTAACTTGTATCTTGGCCTGCTTTCTTCAATAATGTGAACAATGCAATCTCTCTCTCTCGCTCTCGCTCTCTCCCTCTGGACGATTGCAAGGTATTATTAAACATACATTTTAAATTAGGTAATCAGCCTATTTGAAAATAGACTATTTCCCCCACTATTGCTCCCAACGAGATGGAGGAGAAAATGCTGATGGTGCTTTAGCAGAAAAAGCACTTTGTCTCACAGTTCCAGCAAGATCCAGCAGGGCTCAACAGTTCTAAGGATTAAGCACCCATTAGGCATATTGAATTAAAGAGTAAAGCGGATTTGTTGTTGTGCTTATGATGGCAATTATGTCTCCTATTTAGTTGCTAAAACTGAGCGAACAAATAGATCAGTCCACTTAATCTAATGCTCAATTAACAGCACAATGCTTCCTTTACCAGCAGCACAAAATGCAGAGGCAGGAAGGAGGGGAAACTGGATTTTGCACTCGGTCCCCTTTGCCATTGTCGAGATTCTTTGTTGTTTGATGAAAATGGACAACTTTATATCACTGCAGACCACAGAAACAGGACTTCGGCTCTCCACCTCTTTTGAGGGGGAGGGGGAAAAGTAATTTACATACAAAGTGACTGTTACAAATGTAATAACAATGAGAGTGTCACACAGAGAAATTTGTTTTGCTCTTCCCTTTTGAATCTCCATATCAAATAATGGCCTGTGATGGAACAGCAAAGAGGTATTTGCTTTGAATCAGGCAAGGAAATAGAGGCACACTTCATGTCAATCAAGCCATACAAATGGATTTGTGCATTGTGCATTTTTACAACATAGGGGGAAAATAGCCTAATGTTTATCTGGGGATTTTTACAGCATTCGGTGTGGATGTCTGTGCTGCACGTCAGATGAGCACCCTGGTATCTGCATATAGGAAAAAAATAAGATTCATTTTAAACTTCTTTGAAAATACAGAATAGCTGTATTTGTCCACCTCACAAAATAACAATAATAATGTTCTTAGGATTTTTAAATTGCTGACCCAGTTTCTTATTGTAATTGTTTTCTGGAATTGTTATATATGGTGCAAGTCACCCTGAGAAAGGTGGTATAGAAATGGTTTAATCCCCCCCCCTTGTAGTATATGGGAGGAGTTTATTTTCTCCCTCTCTTTCTCTGAGAAAGCTACTCTTATAATCTTATATGTAAACTTCTTCCTCTCTCTGTTCATTTTGCCAACCTGTTTTTTTGAAGAAAACTTCACTTTGTCCTTGTTGATTTGAATACTTCCTTTTATCAGCGTCTGTCACAAACACAGGGCTTAGTATCTCATAAATGCAGTGATAGGGTTGCCATGTTTCAAAATGTGAAAATCCAGACAAAAAAGTTGTTCAGTTTTTTTGGCAAAATCACAAAAAAAAAGTATTTGAGTTATTTTAAAGGAAAATCACAAAAAACAGCACATATGGGTTGCCATACGGCCGGATTTTCAGGCACATTTCTGTGATTTTCACCCTGACACCGTTTCCAACTGCAGTATTCCGGTTATGTCCAGGAAATTCTGGACGTATGGCAACCCTATAGTGACAAAGTTTTGGAATCAGCTGTGAAATCTCCCTCTCTGTTGCTTCTCTCCTACTTTGAGCAAATTCTTTGGCCACTGAATCCAGATTTGTAAAGGTCCCTTACCCAGCTCTGGAGTGGACAACAGTTGTGGGCCGTCACAGGTCCCCTTGGGGGGAAGGAAACAGTCTCCTCACAATGTAGCTGCCTGTTGGCCTTGACTACAGCTGGATCACAGAGAATGATGGGATTGCCTGTCAACTTTCAAAGAACAAGTAGCCAATGAGGGCAGATGTTGGAGGTATGGCCTTGGCGGCGGACCTGAGTGAATAAATCTTCACTCTTTTCCATTACTGGAAGATCAACCCACCCAACTCTATGCATTGCTCTTGTGCATCCATGTCTCAGAACTTCATGTGGATTTTATTGGTCACTGTATTCAGGACTGGAAAAGAATTTGCCTGCAAAGAAAATGGGCCTTTTGGAGTTTTTTGCCTTCCTCATAGCAAACTTTTGGTGGATAAGGCATTGGGTCAAATCCTAAGTCTAAATCTTGGAACAGGATGACTTGGTGCATCACCCTGACCTGGCACAAGTAAAGGGGTCTGGTGGATGTTTCTGTCCAGAAGCCAGATGGGAAGAGGATGGGCCACTGAACTTCCAATGGTGGCCAGGAGAGGGCCAGCTTAGTTTACCCGTGAGGTGGCCCATAACAAGACACAATAGCTTGATGCAGGATACACACCCAATGCCTAAGCTAAAGCCTACCTACATCTGTAATCAATAAAGTTGGGGCAAATTTTCAATTCCAAAAAGTTGTTGTGTCCTTTGTTCCACCTGTCAATTCCATGTTCTTCCTCTTCTTGGGGGCAAGCTGCTCATGGGTCGGCAACCAACACTGAAAGTTAGTCTCATTAGCATTATTAGTGTTGGTGTTCATGTACAGTGGTACCTCGGGTTAAGTACTTAATTCGTTCTGGAGGTCCGTTCTTAACCTGAAAGTGTTCTTAACCTGAGGTACCACTTTAGCTAATGGGGCCTCCCGCTGCTGCCACGCCGCCGGAGCACGATTTCTGTTCTCATCCTGAAGCAAAGTTCTTAACCTGAGGTGCTATTTTCGGGTTAGCAGAGTCTGTAACCTGAAGCGTATGTAATCTGAAGTGTACGTAACCCGAGGTACCACTGTATCTGGTTCAGAGAAAGAGAGGTGAGGCCTGGCAGGGATAGAGTACACAAACCCACTATTTATTCATTATGAAGAGAGAAAGAGAGCAAATTTTAGCTTCAGAAATGAATGAATGGCTATAAATAGGAACAATGTAATATGTCATTCCAATGTTTTATGGCATCTGTACCTCTGATCATAATGCACCATACACATTTTTAAAAGATGCACTCTTATCAATAAAACTCAGCATATTTATGAAAGCTCTTCAGCTGGGTGGGTAGTTACCGGGATGAGAGGGGAAAACTGAAGAGGAACACACTTTGTGGGAAAAAATTCATGTGGTTTTCTTTGAGTAAACTGAATTCACTCAATAACTTTTAAACAGGCTGCTTTTCTTGTAAGAGTCTACTTAATAACATCTTGCAATAGCACTCCCTATTATTAGTACACATGTGTAGTAATCAGTAGTTTTTCGTGCTGAGCACGGGTATGAATTTATGCCACACACCTCAGCACTGATGATGCTTTGGCCTGCTAGAAGCCTCCGTTCTACAAGCATTATAGTGCTTTTATTGAGCAAAACAGGCTCCCTCAGTCATTATCAATCACTCTTCTATCTCTCTGGCCTGCT